AGGGAATGAAAAAGGTAATGTTTCCAATCATCTTGATCTTCCAATTGCCCTCAGAAAAGAAAGAAGAACATGTGTCAAATACCCTATCTCAGACTATGTTTCTTATTCTAAATTGTCCTCAGCTTTTGCAACCTTTACTTCCAGTGTTTCCTCTATTTCTATTCCCTCAACCATACAAGATGCTCTATCTAAACCTGAGTGGAAGAAAGCTGTTTTAGAGGAGATGGAGGCTCTTGAAAAGAATCAGACATGGAAGCTTGTTGAGTTGCCCAAAAATAAACCAATAGTTGGTTGCAGGTGGATTTTCACCCCCAAGTTTAAGGCAAATGGGAGTTTGGAGAGATATAAGGCAAGACTAATTGCTAAGGGGTACACACAGACCTATGGCATTGATTACACAGAAACATTTGCACCAGTTGCAAAATTGAACTTTGTAAGAATTCTTTTAATTTAGACTGGCCACTGCAACGACTGGATGTGAAGAATGCTTTTTTAAATGGAAAGCTTGAAGAAGTGTATATGAAACCTCTTCTGGATTTGAAAACAGATTTGGTTCAAGGTTATGCAAATTAGAGAAGGCTTTGTATGGACTTAAACAGTCTCCAAGAGCTTGGTTTGACAGTTTCACTAAGTTTATAAAGAAGCAAGGGTTTAATCAGGCTCAAGCTGATCATACATTATTCATGAAGTTTTCAGGCAAGGGGGAGATTGCAATATTAATTGTCTATGTAGATGATATTATCCTTACAGGAAATTATCATACAGAGACTAAAAAATTAAAAGAAAAACATGCCCATGAATTTGAGGTCAAAGACGTGGGAAACTTAAAATATTTTTTGGGAATGGAGATAGCTAGATCAAAGAAGGGTATTGTTGTCTCACAAAGAAAATACATCCTAGATCTTCTGCAGGAAACTGGAATGAGTGCCTGCAAACCAGCAGACACTCCAACTGACCCAAGTCGGAAGTTGGGAGATATCAAGGAGGGAATCCCAGTTGATATTTACCAATATCAAAGATTGGTGGGAAAATTAATATATTTGGCACACACAAGGCCAGATATTGCATTTGCAGTAAGTATGGTGAGCCAGTTTATACATCATCTTTTCGAGGAACATCTTGATGCCACTTACAGGATTCTAAGCTACCTGAAAAGATTGTTTTTCAAAAAAGGAAGCAGTAGGACTATTGAAGCTTTTACTGATGCTGATTATGCTGGCTCTATATCTGATGATAGGAGGTCTACTTCTGGATACTGTACCTATGTATGGGGAAATCTAGTAACTTGGAGAAGTAAGAAACAAAATTTTGTTGCTAGAAGTAGTGCAGAATCAGAATTCAGATCTATGGCCAATGGAATATGTGAATTACTCTGGATCAAGAGAGTAATTACAGAATTGAAGATGGAGATGGAACTACCTATGAAGTTGTATTGTGATAATAAAGTTGCTATAAACATTGCTCATAATCCTGTGCTACATGATAGAACTAAGCACATTGAGGTGGACATGCATTTCATTAAGGAGAAGATTGAAGCTGGAATTATTTGCACACCATTTGTATCCACCAAAGATCAAACAACTGATATCTTCACCAAAGGGTTATTTAAACCTATGTTCGATTGTCTTATAAGCAAGTTGGGAATGTATGATATATATTCACCAACTTGAGGGGAAGTGTAGAAAATGTTACATTATTTTCTAATTAATTTGGTGTACATAATTAGCCGAATGGATTAGAATAGAGACTGTTAGTTAGAGATAGACTCGTAGTTATCTAGATCCTAATTTTTAGGATCTACTCTAGCTGTTTGTTACTTGTACAATTGTATATATACTCTAGCCAATTGGCTCATTCAATCAAGGAAGTTTTATTCCCAAAACTTACGGTATTTATATCTTTATTTTCAACCCCTAAGGCAGGGTTGGGTTCCTCAGTTGGCGCTAGGCCCCAGTCGGTATAGAGTAGGCGCCTAGCGCTTTTGGTGAAGTTTTGATAGAGACCTAAGAATATTATTAAGTCTTAATATTTTGTAATAAAAGGGGTGTAGGCCTTATAACTAAGTGGAGGTGGGCTGGCCCATGAGTGAATGAATAAATAAGGTAGGCTGGGAATAGAAGAGAGGGGGGGGGGTTGGAATTATCGGGCTTGGGACTCGGGACTGGAGTCTGAAACGACTTGGGAATTGTATTCTTGTCTCTCGGTTAAACAATGAACTTTTGTTTTTGATCTTCATCGCCATTTTTGAGCTCAGAATTACTGTTGAATTACCGATACCCTAACATTGGTATCAGAGCACCGTTTCTGACACATGACCATGGTTGCGACGCGTAGAACGATGGAAGGAAAATTGGACAGTTTCGAACGCGAGCTGAAACATCATCGCGAAGAGTTGCGGCATGAGATGGCTGAGTTGCGCGCACTGTTGATAAAGCAGAACGACGGACATGAGCGAGGAAGGTCAAGAACCTCAACTCGCGACAAACGACATGATAGTCCAACGCAATCATACTCCAGAGAGAACATGGAGCGGGAGAAGAATTGCGAAGGGGCCAGACGCACTAACGAAGAGTTACGCGAATTAATTCTGCAGAGGAATGAACGCCACTCAAGCGGAAGGTCCAAAACAACAAAGCGAAGCAAGAGACTGGACAGTAGTGAATCTTCTTCGTCTTCTTCAGAACAATCGACGCCTGGAACCATGGAGAAGCGCTATGGTTTACGCGAAGAACATCGATGGTCAGAACTGTCCGCATCTGGTTTGCGCAAATTGGAACGAAACAGAGAGAAGGTGGGGAAGAATCGCGATGAAGCGCGGAAGACTAGCGATGATGGGTGGAAGACTCGCGATGAAGTCGGAGCTAGGTCAAAGACAGAGGAATTACCTCTATTCCACAAGGTTGAAGCGTACGCATGGATAGGGAGGATGGAAGGATATTTCCGAGTCCAAGCTATTGCAGAAAGATTTAAAGTAGACATTGCAGCAAAGGCAATGGGGGAAGCTGCAGATGGCTGATTTCAATGGTGGGACTTTCAAAAGAGAGAAGATAGTTGGGAGGCTTTAAAAGAAGATTTGATTAGGAATTTTCCACCTAGACACCAGCAGAAGACAGGGAAGACAGCAAAACCAGAGTCATCGAGGTCTTCGCATATCTCTTCGCATCATTCTTCTCATAGCTCTTCGCATTACCATTCTAAAAAATGGTTGCAAGTAGAAAACCCCAACTCGCAATCACCAGATTCTTCACTATCAGGATTGATGAGTTCACAAGTTTCTCAACCTGCGAAAGAATTGCCCCAGTCAATAAATAAAACTGAGATGGAGCCAACGGAATCTGTAATCAAGAAACTGAATAAGAAGGACGAAACCGAGGAGCAAGGAGAGATTATCCAATGGCCAGAAAATTCATGCATTGGTAAAAAGAGACCTGGTACAATGGCAATTAGTCCAAAGTGGGAAGAAGCAGGCACCTCTAATATGCAGCTGACTTCCATGAACAAAGAAGGAATCACAGCCCCTAAGACTTTCAGAGTGAAAGGGAAATTAACAAGTGGCAGAAGGACTAAAGATATTATCATTCTAATTGATTGTGGGGCTACTCACAATTTTATATCTCAAAGGGTAGCTCAAACAGCAGGAGTATCTGTCCACCAGCTCCCCGAATATAAAAGGGAAATAGGAAATGGGGACCTAATCAGAAATGATGGGAGATGTGAAGCTGTTTCTATTAACATACAACAGACTAACATCATTCAAGACTTCTATGTCTTAGAATTGGGAGAAATAGAGATGGTTTTGGGATTAGAATGGTTATCTGGATTGGGAACTGTTGAATTTAATTTCAACCAGCTCACTATTAAGTGGAGGGAAAATGGAAGAGTCAGGAAGCTTCAGGGAGATGCCCATCTAAGCAGACACCAAGTTCCTCTCAAATCTATCACTGCAAAGATTCAAGCAAATGAAGAAGAATTCTGCTTGCTCAAATCTGCAACGATTGAAACGGAGATGGAAAAGGAGAGAGCCAATCCATGGAAAAAGGAAGGGTTCAAAGAAATTGCTGATAGGTTCACTCTCGAATACCAGTGTAATACAATCCAAGTAGACCTGGACTTTATGAATCAAGCTGTGGAAAGGTTAAAGAGGTTGATTGAGCAAACAGTTGAGAAGCATGAGGAAAATTTTGGTAAGCGGGTTGTTGTTGCTCTCTATGAGGCAGCATGTTGTGCCCTGGCCTCCATAGAATATGAAAGGATCAAGTTTGTTCCTGGGAAGATGTTGATACAACTGGAGAGGCAGAGGCTGGGAGAAGTCTTAGGCACATGGAGTAGGTCGGGAGGCTGTGTACTGAGTTCTATCTTACCTTCCTCGGGTGCTGATTCGAAAACTGAGACTTACAGTCCCGAAGATGATTATGTGTTCTTCATGGGAGATTCTGTACGAGATCAGACTTTGGGAAGGGATGGAGATAACAACTGTGGCCAAAAGGATCACTATGTGGACACAGAGATTGAATGGAGATCAAAACGAAGAAAACTATACGAGCTGAAGTACTGGGAAGGCAGAGGAGCGAGGATAAAGCATAATGGCATAGCTATTTCTTACTCAGTCACTTCCCACCTTGAGGACAAGGTGTTTGTCAAAGGGGGAGTGATGATAGAGACCTAATAATATTATTAAGTCTTAATATTTTGTAATAAAAGGGATGTAGGCCTTATAACTAAGTGGAGGTGGGCTGGCCCATGAGTGAATGAATAAATAAGGTAGGCTGGGAATAGAAGAGAGAGAGGGGGGGGGTTGGAATTATCGGGCTTGGGACTCGGGACTGGAGTCTGAAACGACTTGGGAATTGTATTCTTGTCTCTCGGTTAAACAATGAACTTTTGTTTTTGATCTTCATCGCCATTTTTGAGCTCAGAATTACTGTTGAATTACCGATACCCTAACAAGTTTGTATTTTGCTGGTTCCAACCATATGTTCCTCATTATTTGCACTATGCAGGCTTACAGAACGCATCATTTGTATGCTATAGAAAGATGGCTTAACAAGTATCAAGTACTTTATCCTAAGGGGCCTGTTTTGGGATTTTGTTCGGGTCATCCTGTATACCCACGAACTTGTGTTCAAACACTCCAAACGAAGCAAAGGTGGCTGCGGGATGGGCTGCAAGTCAAAGCTAATGAACCCCCAGCAAAGGTTTTATTATATCTTGAAGTTTGATTTTTATTTTCCCTACTGGAGCAATTCTTTACGCCTTTAGAAATCTTTTTTATTCTTACTCATTTAGACTTTAAAGCATTCTCAAAAGCAAAGAAAAGAAGTTTCTGGTGAAGATGGTGAGAGTAGTGAGGGAGATTCAGGTGGAACTACTGAACTTTATGGAAGATGGCAAACAGAACCATTGTCTCTACCTCCTGCAGTCAATGGCATCGTCCCCAAGGTAAAGTTTGATACAATTGTTACTTTCCATTCTTGCAGGAACGATTGCATTGATGAATTCTGTATACTACAGTATATGCATAATGTATATGAAAAGTTTAGATGTTGCCTCTACCATCACTGGAACAGCAGTACAGCACAGTATCTTTGATTCATGATCTAGTATTTTGTATTTTCCTTTTGCAGTAAGCTTTTGTTGGGGTTATCTTTCTGTGTTCCGCTTCAAGTTGGAAAATTGCAAAGGATAATAGCTGATAGTAGCGTATCATTACTTTTTTTGGTCATTTAGATTTCCTAGTCTGCATGTATTAGAAAATAAATAAATAAATGGTTTCTTCAAAATTTCCTTCCAAATATCCTCTCCTTTTTCTTTCCCTAGTTTCCAAATGGATCCTAAAGGTTCGAAAATTTTGTATTAGATAAGTGTTTGCTGTTTCAGAATGAACGTGGCCAAGTTGATGTTTGGTCAGAAAAGTGTCTGCCTCCAGGAACTGTTCATTTGCCATTGCCAAGGGTATATCTGGTAGCAAAAAGATTAGAAATAGATTTTGCCCCTGCTATGGTTGGGTTTGACTTCCGCAACGGCCGTTCTGTCCCTGTATTTAAAGGGATTGTGGTGTGTGCTGAGTTCAAGGATGCAATTTTAGAGGTTAGTGGAAATTTTGTCTTGATTAGTAATATAGTTTTCCTCCCTAATAGCATATTTATTTTCAATTTAAAACATAGGCATAGCTCCATAATTAGACTGCCAGGTTGAAAAGGTCTCATTACTTTCATTATTCTTTTACATCAATGAATACATTTTAACATATTATTTGCGATGCTGACATGGCTAAAACAATTATTCCCTCTGCCATATAAAAGTTTTACTGTTTTTGTCCCAAATAAGAGTGTTATATAAGCCTGTCAATGGGTCGGGTTCGGACAGGAACAGTGTTCCAGACTAGGACCTTTTAATTAATTTTATGTTGCAGACCTGGACCGAATACCTGCCAGCTCTAGAATCAATTTTCCAAATGTGGACCTAATGGGTCTCGGAAGCAGGTCAGGCTTACCCATGTTGATTGAGATTTACATAATTCCAAGTTAAATCTTAACTACCAACTATGAATCTATGATCATATAATAGTAAAAAGATATATATTCCAAGTGAATAGTAAACAATGCCCCTAATATAAGACTAAAATGACTCGAGTTCCCAGGTCATCTGCTACGCTCGTCTACAACCCTTCCATTTCCTTTTGTCTTTTTCGTTGTTCGTCTCCGTCATCTCCCCACTGCCACCATTCCACGGCCACACCATTCTCTTGGACGATGGGGGATGGGGGTGAATGTGAATTGACGATTGAAAGCTGTGGACAAGTTGCCGATGACCATGAGTGGCGAGTGATGGCGCAGGGGAAGGCAATTGCAACCACAAAAAACTATTGGCGAGGGATATACATCATCTATGAATTGGGATTTTTTGGGACTCATTAGATTTACAGATGGGTGGTGATGTGGCGGACTATTCCTGTCGGCTAGGGTTTTGGCGGTTGTAGCAGCCGGTTTAGGGCCGGGCAGGGGTTAGGTCAGCGGTGGTTAAGAGTTTTAGGGCATTGGCCTCTTGGCCAGGGCCAGATACTGGGGAGGGGTGGGGGCAGGCGAAGGACTAGGGTCGGAGTTGGGACAGGGGATGTAAATGAGGTGGGAGGCAGGGGTTTGGTGCAGTGTAGGGCTAGGGGCAGGTGTTGGTGGCGTACTGTAGCAGTGGGGTCAATGGGTGTTGGTGGTGGGTCATTCGGCCGGTAAGTCAAGAGAAAAATAGGTTACTAGTGGTGGTCACCAGTTGGTCATTGTGTGGTAGGTTATGGGATCACCGGATCGTCACAGCGGCAATAGTACACTAGTAAAATATAGGTCACTGGATCGTCAGGTTCATTGGACCGGCAGAGTCACTATCACTTGATTACTGGGGTGGGGTGGTGGGTCACTGACAGATGGTGGTGCCGGAGTCAGGTCACTACCAGATGGTGGTCACTGGATATTAAGAGGAATAATTTAGTAATATCTATTTAGGAGTTTCCAGAAATCAAGCTGGGCGGCCCAATATTTGGCAAATGCATCTGTGGGCCACTGACCACTTATTCCAACCGGGACGTGCTACCCTTACTGGCTAAGTGGGCCTATTTCTTGGATGTTTTGGTATTTCCTCTTTTCGACTTATTACTTAAGTTTTATTTATGTATTATTTTTCTGGAGAGGTTTTGGTTCGGTCCCCTCTTTCTGTATTTTTTAAATCATATTTAATAAAACCTGTCAAATTTTCCCCGGTGTTTGCCCCACCGACTTAAGTGGTTTAGCTACAACAACAACAACATACAAACCTTAGTCCCAAAAGATATTGGGGTCGGCTAACATTAATCGATACATGATATCACAACCAAAAGGAAAAGAAAGAAAATAAAGATAAAAAAGATAAAAAGATAAGCTATTATAAAAAGATAATATAAAAAGAGATGAATATACATAAAGATGATAAAATAAAAGGCTACAAATAATGCTTATATATAAGGATAAAAAACAAGGAAAAAAAGATGAGGGAAAAAGATTATACGAGATCACTCCTTCACGCGAATACCAGCCTCCCACTTAGTTCTCTCCAAAGTCATGCCCTCATCCAACCCCAGAAGAAGCATATCACTTCGAACTCCCCTAATCCACGTCTGTTTGGGTCTTCCTCTCCCTCTCTTCCCTGCCTCTTCTCCACACATCTCAACTCGTCTGACAGGTGCATCACTCGGTCTTCTACGCACATGACCAAACCACCGTATGTGCGACTCCCGCATCTTATCTTCAATAGGTGCTACTCCCACCCTTTGTCTGATTGTCTCATTCCTCACGCGGTCCTTCCTAGTATGCCCACACATCCAACACAGCATGCGCATCTCTGCCACACTCATCTTTTGAATGTGACATTGTTTCACCGCCCAACGCTCCACGCCATACAGTAATGCAGAGCTAATTGCTATCCTATAAAATTTACCCTTCAGTCTAGTTGGCATACCTAAGTGGTTTAGCTACGTTGTAAAAAAATTAAGAGTTTCTAGATTTATGACTAATTTAGTCACATTTTTGGAAACTATAAAAAAATCTTTGTTTTTGTGAAAGATGAAATGTTTTGGTATAGGGTATGATTGATGGAAAATTATCAATCTAATATCTAAATTATCCTAAATTTTATTATTTTTTAATTTTAATTCTTTTATATTATTTAGTTTTTTAAAACTAATAAACTTTTGTGAAGTCATCAAAATTAGCAATGGAATTAATAAAAAATAAAATAAATGAAAACTTATAGAATTTTAGGTCTTGATTGATAGTTTTCAATCATTCGTGTCCTTACTTACACATTCATCTTTCAGGTCCCGAATGGAAAATTCATCAATCTATCAGGTTCTGAATTGATAAAATTTCATTAATTTATACGCTAAACAAAATTGTGTCTCATACACTAGTATGATTATATATTTTGACATAGTTCTGTATCACATTGTTGGATATATATATATATATATATATATATATATATATATATATATATATATATATATATATATATATATATATATATATATACACACGGGTGGGTTCTAATACAAAGAGCTCTTCTCATGAAAAGTGAGAAGTAATCTAAGCCCTACTTAAAAATGGATGGTATAGATCAAAACTCACGATCAACCAAAATGTGTAATACATAATCGCAAAAGTGCATATGCAATATGTAATGGTGCACATTCACCTTCTAAAAAAATATTAGGAACGATATTTATATATGTTATGTTTTTTCCGAAAAGTGATGCACTTTTTGTTAGAATGTTTTTACTTAGACCGTAATTTGCTGGTCTGGTCTGGTTTGGTCTGTTTTAGTCTGGTCAGGTTTGGTCTGTTTTGGTCTGGTCTGGTCTGAAATTTTATTTTTTATATTTTTTGCATAAAAATTTTATTTTTTATATATATTATATTCCATAAATTATTATATTATATTCATTTATAATTAAAATAATAATATTCCTTCCAAATTATCGAAAATTGTTATCGTTTTAATTGGATTGATTTCAATCCCAGATCGAAGCAGATCATACAAATACAGAACAATAATAAAATAGTACAAGTATTAATAATAACAACAATAACAATACTACTATTACTACTACTAATAATAATAATAGTAGTAGTAGTAATAATAATAGTAATAATAGTAATAGTAGTAATAGTAGTAGTAGTAGTAATAATAATAATAATAATAACAATAATAATAACAACAACAACAACAATAATAATAATAACAATAATAATAATAACAACAACAACAACAATAATAATAATAAAATATGGTCTGGTCTGGTCTGGTCTGATTTGTTTGTCTGGTCTGGGACGAATTACAGTCCAAGTAAAAACAACCTTAGTCTAATGGACTTTTCCTCCGTAGTAATGCACATTTGTCACGTTAGTTTTCAAAAAAGTTTTAATAATTACACTTTTAGCACTGAATTTTTCCTTTAGAAATTGATCTGGTGCACTCATTTTCTCATTTTAAAGGCTAAGATTACTTCTCATTTTTCATATGAGGAGTACTTTGTATTTGAAGCTCCTTCTCTCTCTACACACACACACACACACACACACACACACACATATATATATATATAGAATACGGATCAAATGAGAAGAGTGCTTATCGTAAGAAGTGAGAATGCATATATATATATATAGGTTTTGGTTCAAATAAGAACATGATCTTAGGAGAGAAATGAGAATGAATCTAGACCGTTAGATTTGATTCAAGTGAAATTCAATGTGCATTAGGTGACATTGCAATGCGCATTAGGTGAAATTGAAATGTGCAACACAAATGGTACGATACAATGACATTATGTGAAGCTGAATTGTGCATTATGTGAAATTGAAATGTGCATTAGGTGAAAGTAAAATGTGCAGAATAAAAATGTACGATGTGATGTTATTTTTGTACCTTTTATTCCGCACATTTCAGTTTCACCTAATGCACACTTAGGTTTAAATTTTTATTCTGCACATTTCAATGTCATCTAATGCACATTTCAGTTTCATCAAATGTACAATTCAGTTCCACATAATACAATCCAACGGTCCAGATTCATTCTTATATCTCTCCTGGGAACCGCCGTCCGGACGGCGGCATTTCAGTGTCTTCCCGGTCAACTTTTTTGATGAAATTTTTATGGCATGTTCCACTTCAAGTCTAGTTTATTCGCAAAAATATTCAACTAAAAATTCAATCGGGAAGGTCGTCAAATAATTTTTGGAAGTAAACTGCGTTTTATATGTATATTACGGTGCATTTATCTTTCAAAAATCATATGACAGCTTTCCTGATTAAATTTTTAGCTGAATTTTTTTGGGGATAAACCAGACTTGATGAAAAACATGCCATAAAAATTTCATCAAAAAATTTTACCGGGAAGGGGCCCAAACACCGCCGTCCGGACGGCGGATCCGGTCAGGAATTCCTGACCGGTTCCTGACCGGAAGAGCTATATATATAGAAAAGATCAGGTGAGAAGTGCCCCTTAAAATGAGAAGTGAGAAGTAATCTCAGCCCTTAGATTTGCATGTGATCTTGCAGTA